TCCCCTCCATATTTGGTGAGAACACAATCTTTCTTTCTTTTTGTAAAGTGAGTTTGTCTATCATTGAGGAGAAGTTGTTGCCAGAATGGAAAACTTCATGATATCATGTAATTTAAGTTTTTATTTTAGTGGGTCATTATTGTTAATAATGTCTAGCCTCCCTGAGCACTTTGCCCACATAATTGCATGATGCATCTGAGCATAGCATTTTAGGACATTAATTAAAATCTTGAGTTTAAATTGGGATAAAATGCTCAGAAATTTATAGGGAGAGGGAAGGGAAGCGAGTACCGTTTTGCTGCATACCATTAAAAACTGATTAAGTAGCGAGCAGAGGTTGTAATAATAGAATCTCACATAACATAAAATGCTGACCTCATAAGTTTGTGAAGTCGATGCCCGGGCTTGGAGTGGTAAAAATGCTCACAGAAAAGGTGTTTTTCTCTCGTAGTTTTGGTTTACAAGTTAGCAAATTCTTTTCCCGTTTCTAACGCCATTAAACTTTTAAAGGTAAAGTTTAGTGTAAACCCTGTGAGGTAGTTAGTTTATTGTGCCAACCTGGCCAATCAACACATGTGGGATTAATTGAAGGCTGGAGAGATAAATGGCTCGGCGAGCCTCGGCTTTCTTGTCTCTTGCTCTTTGATCATCGGACCAGTGTGTGGCTGCCTTGCTTGTTCTTTGCCTCAATTTGCAAGCTACGCTACCTGTGGGACACCTAACCCATGGACTGTGTTGCTGTAATTTGAGGTTTCATCAAGACCTGCTTCGCCACACAGTTGGAATTTACATCTCCTGAGCTGGGGACTGACTGTTGGTGACCTGCCTTGCTGTTTGCTGCCTGTGCCTGGATAGCCTGACTTGCTCTACAGAGGACTACCCAGCAGCCCTCAAGACTTGAAGGACTGCCAGTGTCTCACTACTGTCTCATGGGAGTGAGTTGCACTGAGCCATTTGTACTGCTTTATAATTTAACTGTTTATTTCTTGTGTTATATATCTATCCATCTGTATATATATATATATATTTATTTATTTATTTATTTATTTATTTATTTATTAACAATCTGGTTTTCCTGTCTAACATACCCTGGTACTGGGGAGGATGGATTGAAGCAGTACGTAGGTCTTAGGTCTTAGGTCTTACGTATCTTTCCCGCAGCTTGTATGAGCTTGCCTGGCCGTCTGCATTTGTGCAGCAGGGGGAGTGAGCTCAGATCCCGAGATGCAGGGGGTTGAAGAGGAAGGAGAAGTGCTAGGGAGACCGAGGGAATCTGGGATGGTGCAAGGGCCCAGGCCCATGTCCAAGAGCAACAGATGGCCCCACAGGAATGCCTTAGAATAATTATAAGTATATCATGCTTCTTTATACAAATGTGGAAATAATTTCATTTGTCAATTCGAATACCATCTATAAAATATTATTCCTTTGTAATTGTGAAATGCCTTATTTCGTAATCTTTAGTTGAAATGTAAACATAGTATTACATGCATATTTTGTTTGGGAAAAGTTCAATATGTCTTAGTTTGTATTACCATGTACTTATGGCTTCATGTGTAAGCCCCTTTACCCTACCATAATTTAATCAATTTATATTTAATCATTTAT